ATACTAGTACTGAACTAGAGGCGACAAAGGTCCATAGAAGTGCCATTCTAGTGATTCTAAGATGGACAAATAACAAGAGGTCCAATGGGCCTGCATCGCTCACCTGGTATAAATCACACACTTGTAACTTTAAAAGTGATCTAAAATAAAGCTACAGGCAAAATATCAGTATTTATGATTAAAATTCATTCAAAAGACCCTGTTAATTTTTTTAAAACATTTCCCCCCTGTGATTGAAAGTCGAACAAATTTTATAGCCTTTCATCTCAGGATGCAATTTGTAAAGTATCAACATCCTGGGACCCTAGTTATTCAGAAGAGGTCGTTTAAAGATTTTAAACAAATTTGACCCCTGTGACCTTGAATATAAGTCGAAGGCATTCACTTTAACAAACATAGTAGTCCTTGATCCCAGCATGCTACTGACTAAATATCAACATCCTGAGCCTTTTGGTTATTCAGAACAAATTGTTTAAATATTTTGAACATATTTGCTCCTTGTGACCATGAATATCAATTAAGGTCATACATTTAAACAAACTTGGTAGCCCTTGATCCTAGTATGCTACTGACTAAATATCATCACCCTGGGTATTTTGGTTATTGAGAAGAAGTTGTTTAAAGTTTTAAACATATTTGACCCCTGTGACCTTGCATATGGGTGAAGGTCATTCATTTGATCAAACATTTTAGCCCTTCATCTCAGCATGCTATACGCCAAATATCATCACCCTGGGCATTTTGGTTATTGAGAAGTTGTTTAAAGTTTTTAACGTATTTGACCCCTGTGACCTTGAATATGGGTGAAGGTCATTCATTTGAACAAACTTTGTAGCCCTTCATCTCAGCATGCTACTGGCCTAATATCACTACCCTGGGCATTTTGGTAATTGAGAAGAAGTTGTTTAAAGGTTTTTAAAGACAATTGACCCGTGTGACCTTGAATATGGGTTAAGGTCATTAATTTGAACAAACTTGGTAGCCCTTAACCCAAGCATGCTACTGGCCAATTATCATCTCCTTGGGCAGTTTGGTTATCGAGAAGAAGATGTTTAAAGTTTTTAACATATTTGACCCCTGTGACCTTGAAAATGGGCGAAGGTCATTAATTTTAACAAACTTTGTAGCCCTTCATTCCAGTTTGCTTCTGGCCAAATATCGACACCCTAGGCCTTTCGGTTATTAAGAAGAAGTCGTTTAAAGTAAAATATTGACACCAGACGACGGACGGACGGACGGACGCCGGGCCATGGCATAAGATCACTTGGCACTTCGTGCCAGGTGAGCTAAAAACTAAAAAGCGAGTTTAAGTTTCAATCATTTGTGGATTTTTNGTGTGACCTTGAATATGGGTTAAGGTCATTAATTTGAACAAACTTGGTAGCCCTTAACCCAAGCATGCTACTGGCCAATTATCATCTCCTTGGGCAGTTTGGTTATCGAGAAGAAGATGTTTAAAGTTTTTAACATATTTGACCCCTGTGACCTTGAAAATGGGCGAAGGTCATTAATTTTAACAAACTTTGTAGCCCTTCATTCCAGTTTGCTTCTGGCCAAATATCGACACCCTAGGCCTTTCGGTTATTAAGAAGAAGTCGTTTAAAGTAAAATATTGACACCAGACGACGGACGGACGGACGGACGCCGGGCCATGGCATAAGATCACTTGGCACTTCGTGCCAGGTGAGCTAAAAACTAAAAAGCGAGTTTAAGTTTCAATCATTTGTGGATTTTTATTATTTTTACATCTGTATTTATCAATTATAAACACAATGAAACCAGACAAATAGAAACATTATATAAACAAGGCAGTAAGTTGTTTTAGAGAAACCCTAGGTAGCATTGATTTACATTTGAAATTCGTGATTTAAAACATAGTTAACATACACTACGGCTAAATGTTATCTACCCAATAATATTGCAATACTATCGCAATAAAATGTGCAATAACAAGAGGCCCAATGGGCCTGCATCGCTCACCTGGTATAAAACTCACACTTGTAACCGTAAAAGTGATCTAAAATAAAGCTACAGGCAAAATATCAGTATTTATGATTAAAATTCGTTCAAAAGACCCTGTTATTTTTTTTTTAAAC